CAAGAACCTCTACAGCCTCACCAAGAACCTCTACAGCCCCATCAAGAACCTTTATGACCTCATGGAGAATTTCGACCACCCTGTCCAGGACCTCCAGCTCTCGTACCCTGTACCTGACCTTTCCTCAGGGAATCCAGAGTACAACACACAGCAAGCGTACCATGAGGAAGCTGTGGTCTTCAGGCTCAGCTCGCAGATATTTGAAGATAACCTGCTCCATGAACTTCTCCATCAGGTCCCAGTCCTCCACCATCCCGTGACGGATGGGCCACTGAAGGAAAGAGCAACAGTAGAGTGGTTGGAGACACCAGGACCAACCTCGACCCCGGATCTACACCTGCATCGTCCTGCTCCTCCTACCTTGGTCGCATAGTTGGGTTTGTCTACGGCTTCGTCTCCGATGTAGAAGTCCAGGTCCTCAACTCCTCGTACGAGCCTCCTCTGGGCCTGCTCCCCCACACCGGCCGACTCCTTGATGGAGATGCCTGGAGGACGCCACAACACAAACATGTACGAATCCAGAGGCAGAAGGAGGCGGAGGAGCAGAGGTAGAAGGAGGTGTTACTGTGTGTATGTGTGTGTGTGTGTGTTAGTGTGTGTGTGTGTGTGTGTGTGTGTGTGTGTGTGGTACTGACAGGACGGCATGATGAACTGCGGTTCCGTGTTCCCTGCATATCCGATCTTTGTGTACCTGAAGTCAGAGAACACAGTGTTAGGGTTCCCAACGTGTGGCTCTGGGCCCAGACATGGCCCCTGCGGAGCCTCCCGGTGGTTCTTCTGGGTTCCTGGTTCCGACTTTGTTGCTTCTACTTTTTTCTCCTTTTGTGTTGACGAACCAACAATCAGCTGATCGATTAAGAAAATAATGAAGTGATCGAGCCACAAAGAAAAGCTCAGTAGTTCTGGTACTGGTCGGCTAGAATGAAGCAGCAGGAGAACTTTCCTGTACTGGAGTACTTTGACAGGGTGCTAGTAATACTTTGACAGCAGTAAGTAATCTGATTACTCCTGCTGCCAGCTGCTGCAGGTTTCTGGGATCACATCAACACACTCCATGGACCAGAACGCACTGGAGCACTGAGCCTCTCTGGCACCGTCCTGAACTGGTCCAAACCGGTCTAGGACCAGAGTCCTGGTTTCAGTGCCCCATGAGTGCTGGTCGGCCTCGGTCCGAAGACTCTGGTTCTGGTTAGAGGTTCTGCTGCAGGAGGCTGCCGTCACTGACAGAACGATCACCTCAGATCAGATCAGACCGACCCAGATCACAGAACACACAGAGAACATGCAGCGGTTCTGAGGGCTCAGGAACATGTGACCCACTACTGAACCTCTGGAGCCAGTGGAGCCAGTGGAACCAGCAGAACCGACACATTAGTGCAGCTGGGAGCAGATCTCAGGGTTCATACTGCAGAGACCTTCAATCAGTCCAGAACCAGTTGGTGACGGACCTCTGAATCAGGCTGCAGAACTCACGAATGATGAAACCGATGCTGACCCATCAACTTATTGATTAGCTGATTGGTGTTTGTGCTTCTCCTGAACGACAGGAGAACTGTTCCTTCAATGGGAACCCAAACGACACACACACACACACACACAC